AACTACGTGAGCATGACCTTGAATGTGAAATGTCTTATGTTCCCTGACATTGGCAACAGTGAACTCTTTTACTGTCATGCTTGCTAAGACACCTGCACGGTTGATCCAGCAGATTTTGTAAATTTTTCTCAGCGGCAATAACAGAAAGGACTCTGTTGATCGTTTTGATTGCCAAATTGTATTTCCGATCTACCTTTTTTTTCTTTACTAAGTGAAGCAGAACTTGCCTTGCCTTAATAGTCAATTGGTTAAATAAAAAACTTCACAAAACCTTCTATAACATCTGGGTTATAAAGAACTGTTTAACTGAAGAAGACGTTAACGCAATTTCAGAATTTGCCTTGTGAAAGGAAAAGCATGCATCCTTGTGAATCAAATATAGCGATTCTGAGCATTTCATTTATTAAGTGACTTCAACACGAAGTAAAGGTGTGTTGTGGCTTACTGATTTTCTTATTTTAAATTTATTTCCTTTATTGTTGGATTAAAAAATCCGGTCTTGAAGAACATACGCAGTTCTTGCGAATGTTCTTTTTTGTTGGCATGCCCTGAGATTTTCGAGGATGAAAGCTGTCATTTAGGTTCTTCACCAAAGCATTTGATGTTTCATTAAAAAAGAGTGTGCTTCTCTCACTGACGGAACATCTTATCAAACCCTACATGAAAGATATTTTTTAATATAAAGATTCAACTAAAATCTGCAAAATTTCGGAATCATAAACTACAATAGTATACATACCTTTGGCAGAAATGTAATAAAATTTGACTCATTAACAAGGACGAAATTAAGTTTCGAATTGTGCTGTCTGCAAAAAGGTGTTTTCATCAAACTGGAAACTTCAACTCGACATGAGAAGTGTATGCGGAAACCGAGAAAACTATTCCACACGTAATAGCCAACTCACAATTTAAGGTGGAAAAAGAGTGAATTGTAAGGCGTGTACCACGCTCCGAAATACCCATATACCGCAGAAATTTGGTGCCTTAAGACCAAAAAGTAGACCTTTCCACGGCATAGGGAACTTTTGTAACCTGAACGCAGTTGAAATGTTTATAATGCGTTTTGCTTTGAAAGTCTGGCAAAGATTTTCACAGGGCAGAATAAGGGCAACGTCTAGTTTCAGGAAATGCGAAAACCGGGTCTCAATAGAGATAAAGGGCGACTTTTTGGCCGAAGAGACAACAAAGTTACAAGAGTGCCCATCATACCTCTAGGGGGAGGGAGAGAGAGAGAGGGGGGGGGGGTAGAAAAAAGGGCACTTTTGTGACGAAAATAGGAAACTTTTTGACTTATGAACTTTTATGACGTGTATAGGGAACTTAAGGGACGTCACTAGGGAACTTTTGTGACGACGCTAGGAAACTTTTGTGACATTAGGGAACTTTGGCGACCTGAATAGGGCACTTTGGTAACCTGAACAGGGAACTTATGTGACGCTCATTTAGTGTTTCACTAAGAAAAACGTCACTTTCAGTGCAATAGAAGCGGTAGGTATTTTCCTAACTCGTTATCAAACTTAAAGTAAACAGAGCGCAAACAAATCTGGTGCTTTTCCAGCCGCTTTGGATACAATTTCTCAGTTGTTTCTAAAAACTGACTAGTCTCATTTATTGAACAACCCATCATATTATATAACACTTTGACTGTGTTTCTTTGAGTTGCATAGACGTGGAGACAAGACAAACGATGACTTAAATTAGATTGTATAACCTATCTCTCAAGACGCTTGATAACAGTACATTGTAGACAAGCGTGCAAAAATATGTAGTTATTTAGACCGTTCATGATTCAACAGGAATGTCGTAACACTTTTACTCCGAAGAACAAACATTCGAGTTACAATGCATTTTAATGCAACTAACTTCCCCCGGGGTTGCAACATCTTTAAGTGCCAGGTTGAACTTAAAACTGGTGATTCTGTTCTCAAGTTTGCTTGTTTCATTGCCAAATGATTGCTCTACCTACAGTATAATTTTGAGACCTTTCATTGACTGGAAAATTCAAACAGATACACATACACATACACATACACGGCAGCTTTTAAATTGGCCGATACCACGATATAGGGCACTTTCGTGCCCTCACAAGCACAAGAAACGAGCTGTTTCAGTGAGGATTAAATGGTATTGGTGAATCGCTCGCATGCAGACAGTTTGGGTCGTCAAGCTTTGTCATAGGGGTTGCTAAAAGTTACCACACGAAAACAGTTGATTTATCATTAAAAGAGGGAAAAATCAGGAAAGTCCCCTAATTTTCTTGTAGAGAGAGGGAGGGAGAGAGAGATAGGAAAAAAATAGTTATAGCAAATAGACAGGTTGAGATCTTGGGGTTGCAAGATTGTACATTAACACAGGCTATTTCTCAATCACAGGTAGGCAGGTTACCTCACTTACCTAGGGTCCCCCACTTTCATGTAACCAGGCCCTAAACCATCCACAACCATCTTAAACAATTTACAAGAAAAACCATCCTAAGCAACCATAAATCATCTTAAACCATCTTAAACCATCTAAAACCACCTCTGTACAACCATCTAGAACTACCTCAGTACAACCACCTAAAACCACCTACAGTCAAAGCAATATTATCTCAGCTTGAGATGGAGATAGCTGGCTTGTTTAAGAGGCCAGCTGTAGTTGAATGATTCGGACTATCATTGTGTTTAAGAAATAGAAAAAAGATGGAGAAGCGTGCAAGTTACAAAGGCCATCATTGTTCCCATAATTTCTTTATGGAAAATTAAATTACAGTTGATCTCGTTCAATTGAAAACTTGAATCAAAGATGAAAAAATTGCACAAATGTTATCAACAAATGTCTCGCAATCGCACCCAATTAATTGGAATTTCATGTGAAGTAAGAGAACTTTCATTCAATACAAGAAAGCGATACGAAACGAGTGAAGCGGACCAAAAAAATTGAAAATTGAAATTGATTACAAAGGTCTCCAGAGAGGAAACTATCAGTACGGTACTCGGAGAACTCTCTTTGTCGATCATGGTTGGTTTTAAATGGTTTTATGTGGTTTTAGATGGTTTGTCTGTTTTTAGGGCGTTTAGGTTGTTTAAGATGGTTTTAGATGGTTTCTCGTCTTATTTATATTTAGCTGGAGAGAAAGTACAACACATCCCTAATTTAATTTCTTTCGACATTAAACGGCTTTCACATCATTTGTGAAAGGCTATAGCTATACAACGCAGAATCAGGACTAAGTTGGCTGGCGAAAACCTTACACTGTAACTACATGTAAAGCCTGTGTGTAATAAAATAAAAAAGTTGCTCGAAAGATGACCTCAGATCGTAATTAAATCAACGTGGTTTAGTAACAGAAAAGGTCAAAAGATCGGAAAAATGAAATTACAATAACATCAAACAGCCTGAAACTCTTAACAACATACATGCATAAAATTATCCTGTGCCTAGGATAAAATGAATTTTAATCATTTTAAGGCCGTGGGAGCTTAAAATACCTTCACTTGGTCTTCCGAAATGCTGACTCTTGTGGCACATGCACGAATTTTGTCGCACATCGCTTTCTTGGTGGAAGTCATTCCCTCGTTGAAAAACGTGGTTAGCACTTCTCTAAATAAAGTAATTAGGATTGCCTTTCCATTGTAAAGTAAAAAGGTCAGACGCACATCAACCTGATAATCCACGCTGTGCAGGAATACAAAGTGAGTAAACAAAGGGGTCAGCCAAGGGTGCTGCACAGGGCGCTAGAATTTAATTCCATACGTCACAGGCTCACGATAGGTAAATGGGCCCCACTTTGACCGCTTGTATGCGTTTATTTGATGGTAATTAAATCCGCATGTAATTACGAGCGAATCGGGTGATCAATAAATGTCAATTTGAATTTATTACACTCCCTCCTTAAGTGACCTAAGAGGTCACGCAAGCCTACTAGTGAAGCGGTTTCCAGCTTTTGTAAAATTTCATGAAAGTTTGCTAGTTTATATTGTTAGGAGCAATTGATTCCTGTCAAAATATTTTGAAAAACATTTCCGAACAGTGCCTTCTCGCTGTCAAACCCAAGAAATCTAGACAACACGATTACTTAGGGGAGGAAAAAAGTGATGCTTTTATCACAAAAACGATTATTTGTTTCTCACGCTCATCCGTCATTTCCAATAGCAGCAAAGTCAGTAAGCCTCTGACTCCAACTGACTGCTGGCGTAAGCGACACCACAAAATATTTTTGCGATTTCAAACATTTTTCCCGATTTCACAAAGAATCTTGGATTGCAAAGTGTTTGTATTTTTGAGGTTAGTAACAACCTCTTATGGTCATGGTGTTGCGACATGCTCGGATATTTGGCCCCACACACTTTTGTATGTGCTCCATGCCGGAAGCAAACAACTACTGCTAGAATAAACCACAATGAAAAATATGAGTATCGGGGAGCAGATAAATACCTGGAACAAATAATTATCTGCCCGTTTAATGGCCTTAAGGGGAGTTTGTAAGCTTGTTACTCTTACAGCAGTGGAGTTTACTCCTAAATACACCCAGAGGTTGGAAAGTGGTCAACAGTTAGCAGATTATTTTTGGGGTTCATTGTCCTTAAGGGGGGTTTTGAGAGCATGTAGTTCTTAAAAAGTAATCAGTAGTGCCGAGTAGATTATAGAAGTGCTACATGGAGCCTAACGTGTGCGACATATTTTAAAGAACGTACCTCTTGCAGCCGAGGAGAAAACGTGTACGGATACCCTTTTGTTAGAAATGTCGGTCGGTCTTTAGAAACGAACTCAATTATACAAATATTAACATACAATTACGTTTCCATTGGATCAAAGTCATATCGCAATAACTGTGACAAAATTGTTTAGAATCATTTCAACAGAAAAGTATCAATCAATAAAATTACCCTATGTTCGAATCCTACGCTAAAATTGAAGATTTAAACATATACCATCACATCCTCCTTTCGAAACAATCGGTTGAAAAGTAATTTAATTGATTGCTGCAAAAAGGTTTAGCAACGCACTGGTGTACACCCTCAGCGCCGACCCTTTACATTGGATTTGTTCTTGCTGTCAGAAGGATCCTCTTTTATCCCTTTAATATCATTGTTCGTAGATGAACCAGTTGAGGTCCTTCCTAAAGATGAGGCTCCCCCCAAGGTTAATTCGCTGAGTTCACTTGTACTGGAAAAGCTATTTACATTCTCTTGATCAGGCAGAATGGGTAGATTTTCCTCTTCTACCTGGGGGTTCGGTATATTCATTCCCCTCAGCTTCCAAACGATCAGACAGATCGCTATGACAATACCCAAGCCTCCAATACTACCTGCTGCGATGCGCCAATTTTCGTTATCTGCGCAAGTAGAAACGAAAAATTGTTTAAAAAAATTGGATTAAAATCATTCTCATTACGTCGACAAGATATAACGTTAGTTGGACTGAAAATTTATCCATTTAACTCTGAAGATAAAGAGATTTGTTTCGTGCCGTTGCCTGATCTCGTTCTAGGTAGCTTGGGAGTAATTAAAAATGTATATATAAGCACACAATGTTAGCAACGTACATGCTTGATATATATCAGAAAATACACTGTTAAGCTCACGGTTCCTAATAAACCAAGTTGGATTCTTCCTCCAGAACAGGTTGAACCTCTCTGGGACAAACCTCGCTGAGCTGATAACCGATGCTGCTTTATAGAACATAGTTAATGATCAGCTTCATACGCAGTTGTTTCAGCCGTTATGTTCCTTTGGTTTTCAGAGATTTAAGTGAGTCAAAGCTTTTTCGTCACATGGCATGTTGAAGAAGAGGTTACAACTATTCTTGTCATGAGAACTCTGTAACGCTTTAAACTTTGAACTTACTTAGACCTGGCTCCTCAGTGGGCGTGTTGGGTTTAAAAAGACACACATTGGGACACCCACATTTGTGTGTCAGGCTGAAAACCTAAAACAGCAGCAGAAATTGTAATGATTTTCTAGCAGATAGAGATTTTTGAAATGGTTGAAAGAGAGTCTCGAGTATGAATAGTCGTTGCAAAGACATGATTTGTATTTAAAAAAAAGTCCCTTATGCAATAAGTCATATATTGTCATCAACTTACGTAAATTCACAGGTCATCCAAAAGCCATATATTGATCTATTATCAACCACTTCAAACCACATTAAATGAAATGTCATATTTTGACCTTCGAATTGTGCTAAAGTAGAAAAATTTTCCTCACAGGTGAGCTGAAACCAAAGAAATTACAGAAATAGACTCTAAAAATTAAAGATACTAGTTGGCTGTGACTAATAACTGATATACGACTGCTGGGAGCGAGGCAGATGTTAGACATTTTTCTTTCCCGTATGGAAGTTTTATCATAATTCAGCCGATTTTTTTTTTCAGGCTTCTTTCAGGCTTTTAGCTCACTTGTAAGGATCATTTCTTTACTTGTTTGTAACCCGCAAGTCAAAATGTGATCAGATTCCTTTACGGGAATAAAGAGCCCTCTTAATTTAGCCTCGCTTTTAAAACAGAAAAACATGGCTTAGCGGTTCAGTTGGTAGAAGTGCCCAACTAGTATTTACGAGGATATCAGGCATGCTTCTTTCCTGTGAATTGTTTAACAGCAAGTCACCTTCGAGGATCATGTCTTCAGTTAGTTGACCACTACAAGGGATAACGGTAATAATCTATAACAGTATTACAGCTCAGATGAAGAAAACATTTCTCGGGAGTATACTTTACTTCAACAAAAAATGATTGATAATCACTTACAAATCGCGAGGGATTGCTAACCGACCGAACTTCAAAGTCTGGACGTTCCTTTGCTTTATTGCACTTTAGCAGCACACTTGACGTCTTAATTTGGCTATCACTAAAATAAACGGTTTCAAAAATATGAACATTTCTAAGACTGAAAATAGTTCACAAAGTTTAAATAGTGTGGCTAACTAAGAATTAGGAGTACGAGGAGTATGGAGTGTATCTTAATCGAGTGTCGTAAAAGTAAACTCACAACAGCAAATGAGAGAAAAGGATATGCGCCATAAGGAATCATTGGGAAATCAAAGTTAAGACACGTAAACTGCCTGAAGCGCGGCAAAACATAAATGAACAAGTGACAATTGCGTATATTTTTATGCTGATTGCACGCTTGAGAAAGTTGCACGAGTTGTGTCACATAGAATCACATAGGAAAGAAAAGCAAGCTAAAGCGATTCCGAATTGACTTTCGACACCATATTTAAAGTTGCTATCAAGTGACTAACATTAATTCTTGTGAGCCACTGAGCTGCATTCCGGAAGTTTCCGAGTACATAAAGATTTCAGTTCATTACTTAGAGATTGCGGTTCTTCCTTTTTGACTTTTCAACAAATGCTGAGGCCACAAAAAAACTGAATAGCATACATTTATAGCAGGCGAAACACGAGTAAATATTACATACCCTTTGTATTCTAGCATTGGTAATTTGGTTTCTTCATCAAAAAGACATCGTTCTGTTCTCTGATGTCCTATATTGTAGCCTATTTGTGCGGCCACCCACCTGCAAATCTAAAAAGAGAATCATTTAATCAAAATTTAATACCGGGCAGACTCAAATTGTTTTGAACATTTTCTATGCCCGAAAATGAGAACATTAATGTTCTTTAATTCCTGGAACAAATTTTTAAGGGCCAAGTGAGATCTTCGTGAGAATATAACCAGGAGTTTTTAACGTTTTGCCCTCAAGCTGGCTGTCTCGAAAAACCCACCCTACATGGATCACAGTAAGCGTCTCCCAGACTTCTTTTATCTGTCCCATCACAGGCCAACACTTTTCAGAGTAATTATTTCATTAAGCTAACAACCAACATACAGGATGATTCACATGTTACCGATTTTAGTGAAACTTTGACAGCTTAAAGGGTCTACTGCAAAACTCAAAAAGACAAACTGGCTTCTGTTTTAGTGTTTTCCGGGGGGAGATAGACCACCCCCCGGTTTTTCTTGGTTTTCACCGAGGAAATCGCTTTATAAAAGGTAAAATGTACGAAGCTTTCACTGCGATGGTATTTAACCAATTACCCTGAGGGTTTGCACACATATTATTACATCCTTAGTAAATGTTCGACGCACCCATCAGTCATGATCAACGGCTTGTCAATTAACAGAGGCAAATAAACGACTGTGTTTTTAGAGTGTGCGATTCATCCAAATATTTGACAACTTTGAGGTCAAAAACCTCCCCTTTCCAGAACGCTTCAACTATAATTTTAACTCCCCTTTATGATCCATCATTTCACCACTAAAAAACATCTAAAAAATCTTTGGGCACTACCGTATTCTTGTTTAAGATGCCTTTTAAAATCTGCGACTGTGACAAGCTTCTCTCAACTACACCTGTCACGCAATTCTGACTCTAGGCGGTCACTTGACCGTGGATGACGGGCAGCTTTGCCCCCTCGTTTCAAAGGAATTATCAGTAGCCACATGAAATTCATTAACTGCGCCATGTCTCCAGAAAATAAGACTGGGAAATGTTTTTACCACTTTCCACCATCAGGAAATTTCACGCAGAAATACTATCTACAGATCAATGCATCTAAGACACAGGCAATGACTGTAGGTCCAGTACCATATCGCTGTAACTTCAGTGTAGATAACCATGAAGTGGACGCCAATGATATACTTAAAATCCTTGGTGTTACATTAGATCGTAAGCTCAATTTTGTCGCTCATGTGTCCGAACAAGTAAAAAAGGCGTGTGCCAAAGCCTCTACGTTACGGAGGATTCGCAGGTTTATTACTTAAGAGGTAATGTGCCGCCTTTTTAAAGCATATATTTTGCCTCATTTAGAATATTGTCGTCCGCTATTACTTGGGGTTGGAAGAGATCAAGTTGAAAACTAGAAGACACCAATAATTATATTCTTAGATCTATTTTAGGGTATGGAAAGCATACACCATACAATCATTTATTAAATATGGCCGGTATAAGAACGCTAGAAGAAAGAAGAAAATTCCAGGCCCTAGTTTTGGTATGTAAATGTATTCATAAAGAAGCCCCAAGGTATATAGAAGAATTTTTTTAAGATTAATATCTGCAATTATAATTTAAGAGAGTCGGGGACACTTTTAACGTCACCCAATTTCAATCTAGTATGGCGCCATAAATCATTCTAATTTTTGGCAGCAAAACTTTGGAATTCGTCACCTATGTATGTTAGAAACGCCAAGGATATTTCTACTTTTAAATGTCTTTAAAGAAACAAGTTTTTATATAGATTTGAGAATGGTAACTTTATATTATTTCTTTTCTTTTTAACGTTTTTTAAAAAGTTTTCATCATTCCTAGATGTAACGTGGGTAAATAAAGTATTGTATTGTAGTGTGGTGTAGTGGCGTGACTGCGTGACCTTTCTGGAGAAGTAGAAATTGTTTATCTTCGTTTTTCAATAAAACGCTTCTGGAAACTTCTGAAACAATCTGTTATTTTATTTGCCTGTTTTTTGACTGCAAATATCGTCTGCATTTGCTATTGTTTTCACCAAATGTCAGGGCCTTTCCCGCGCGTGCAAGCCAGTTGGTACATGCGCACAACACTATTTCGAGTTTCATTGCCTAAACACCTAAACCCGACAATTTTTCTTTCGGGTTTAGATCTGTAGGTCTTGCTCAAAAGAGAAGTGGGGAGAAACACTTGAAAACGTCTTGTTTTTCTCCCTACACTTCTCTTGTGCTCTGGCGGCTTCCTGCTTGCCTTACAACTGAATAAATAAATAAGGGTTGCAAAGTGGACTGATATGCATTTCCCCAAGTAATGATACAATAATTTAAGAATGGCTCTACTGAGGTAAAAAGCAGGCTTAGCAACGTTTTTGTGTTTAGGAAATAACGAAGCTTAGGATAATACCTATACTTCTTTTGATTTTTTTTTAGCAATATAGTCAATGTGGCTCTTCCAACTAATATTTGACTATATATAAACTGCAAGGTATCTAAGTTAATGATTGATTATTTATATATAGCATTACCTTTTTGGGAATTTGTTTTTGTACTGGATGAAAAATAACAAGATTCGACTTCTCAATATTTACTGAAAGCAAATAGCCCAAAATGTACTTTTCCAAGTTCACTGTCAATTTCACTTTCAAGAATGTTGAGGTCCTTATACTCAAAAATAAATTCGCTTCATTTGCAAAAAGGTGAAACCTAATAGTTTTGAGCAATTGTGAAAGTCACTTTAAATAACTAAGAAAAAGGAGTGGCCCCAGTACTGATCCTTGAGGCACCCCACAAAATCCTGTTTGCATGACAGAAATAACTAAACCAAGTGATACCATTTGAGTTCTGTTCCTCAGATATGAGCTAAACCAGTCTTATACAACACCTCTAATACCATAGTATTCAAGCTTTGTAAGTAGAATGTTGTGATTAACAGTATCAAATGCTTTGCTGAGGTCTAGGAATATTCCGCAAGAGTAATCATGGTGTTTAATAGCTTTTTGCACCTGGTCGATAATACTTAGTACTGCATGATCAGTAGAATGATGTGAGCGAAACAGTTAACAAAGCAAGATGGTTCTTTATAGGAGGTTGGGCCACTGCTGTTGCAACTTCGTGCATCAGGGGACCACTAGCGATGTTCGCAAATTTATGGGACCCGGTCAGAGAAGCAGTATCTAAGGGAAATAGACTTACCGCTACATCCCAGTGGCATTCTTTAAACTTGCTTGTCTTTCCTATCTTGAATGACACGCAGGGGTTAAAGCTATACGTCCATCCATCTTTAGTTTTTATATGAAATCTGTTTCAGGAACAACAGAATAATCATTAATGATGTAACTGTCTCTTGTCTGCACACATTGGCTGGTTCCGTATCATAGATGCAGTGGTTAAGTTAGTTACACTCGATCACTCAATTCTGTTAAATTCAAAAGGAAAAAATTCTCTTTTGTAGAAGTAGGTTAACAAACAAATTTTCGGTCAGATTTAGCCAGCGCCCAAACTAGAAATCGTACTCGTAAATGCGTTATGCCATAAAGGTAGAGTTCGACAAGGTAATTTTGGTGGTTTTCTGGATAATCTGCGACAGCGCATTTATTGCAATAGCATTGATAAGGAATTATACCAACACAACCAGTCGTGCAAAATAAAATTTCAGATCGCAAAACTGATACCGTCCAAGTCAGGAGCTATTGTGGTCAGCGATCACAGGGTTTTAATTCATTTCAGGGCTACAAACAAAATATTAAGATTTTTTACTGCTGCCTAGAATTTACCAAAAGAACGTTTTCAGTATCAGTATTTTAATCAAATGACGGCAAACAAGCGCCGTCGGTACGACCGTTCTGAGAATGTCTGGGGTTTTGCTCCCCCAGAAAATGTTGAAAATTTGAGTCTCTAAAATGGCCATTTCCAGCATTTTAAGACCAATTTATTGCTCATAAGTCTCCTTCAAATAGCCTAATTCACAAAGAAATAGGTTTAGTATATTGTCAAAAGGGAGGGGTGGAGCACCTTGGTCCATAGGGATTGGCCACGAGTCAGTCAACTGTTAAAGAAACGACTAACAGAAAAAAAAACGATTATATCTCGTCTCGTGTTTACAACGACCGAACTTATAGTAATACATATCATTGGTGAATAATGTCACAAGTTGCGTCACCAGAGCGTCTTTGACAACTAACTTAAGAAATAGCTTTATATCAGTAATGTTGCGTTAGTAAGGTAGAACAGTTACATTGCTGCATGAGCACTGTCAGAGACTGTCAAGCACATTGTGCTACTCGCTGTCTTGCCAATAACTTACAGATTGTAGAACTTAGAAGAAAACTATTATAGAGAGACAAGGACTAAGAGCTAACAAAGATTATGTCGAGATGCAATGAATAACACCGCAGTGAGTCACTGATTGATTATCTGTCAATTTCTGCGGCTGTTTTTTCACGTGTAAGCCCGCAGACATACACTGAAAATGCATAGTTCGTAATTAGCGGCCTCCAATTCACCGCATCCACGGCCAAGCGGCCTATTTGTCGTTTACATCAAAGATTAATGGTGAGAATATTTTACACCATAACTATCTGCAATCTGTATCTTGGTTTTTCGACTCTTTTAAATCATCCTTCCAAGGGAAGTTTTGTTTAAATTCTAAGTTCTACGTTACTCGTGGTTTTAATGAAGAGAAATAGTTGTTCAGTTTATTATTATTATTTCATCTATTAAGAAAATTGCTGTGTTCTTAAAAGAGTTTTTGTTGGAAAAAAAAGACCAAGCATTAAACCAAACGAACAACAAACGAACGAGCACATATTCTAGCCACTCAAAGCCATTTCAAACGCGAAAGAAGAGCATCGAAATAAGTCGAGAATGAAGGGGTAAGTTTCTAATTAAACTTTAGTGCTGCGTATCAACTGAGTTGATAAGGTGAATTGGCTACCGTGGAGAGATTCTAAAGCTGACTTTTCGAGCGTTTACCAGCAGATGCTCGCAACGTTAGCTTTAGAAACTCTTTATCGACTTAGTTAATAAAACCAAATTATCTCGAAATAGCTCGTTGAGTTTACCTGTGTCGTGAATGTGTAAAGATTGCTGAAATCGCAATTCATCTGTCAAGGTAAGTGGTTCATTTATTCAATTATTTTTCTTTGTCTCTTAGTCAAGATATTGATGGTCCTATTTAACGACCCACGTTTGTTATTTTTCAAATATAATCTGTTTACGTTTCTTGTAGTAGTATTGATCTTTTCCGTGACCCATGCACCTCATCGGTGGCCAGCTCTATCTAACACAACGCTGTGGTATTTATATTCAACAACTTGCTTACATGAGCTGAAAATGTTGCAAGAGCAAATAAGCGGCACCAAGGTTCTTATCACACTTTTCTTTCAGTGAGCATTAGGTTAATTCAATTCCCAGATATCATGGTAAAATACTTCTCTGGTATTTAACTCACCTTGCAGTTCCATCTGTATTCCGTAAGGAAGTCAAATTGTATTTGTTACCAGCTGGATCCACGTGAAGACAATCACGTGATTGAGTTTTGTTGCCATTTGCCTCTTGGTATGTGACTGAACCATAAAGGATGGTCGCGCGAATAAACCACCTCAACCAGCTTATGGCCATGTTTCTATCGGGAAGACTCCTGGAAAAGACATGAATTACTTAGGCCATTTTAAGTTAATCTTAAAATTTTAAGTTTTTGTACCGCGAGGGTCATCCTAAACTGTAATTTTGTAAATGCATGAATATTAAGTCTATATATCTCAAATCCTTTTATACAACGCTGAAAATAAACTGTTAGCCATTCTAACCATTAAGAAAAGCAATCGGGATGAAAAACTGAATTTTCTTTCGATAAATGAACTTTTAATCGTTTGTCTCACGATGTACGAGTCAGGCTAATCAATCGTGCCAATTAGCTGCTCGAATGAGAGGAGACTTAAAGAGTATTTCTGAGTCTTGTGGGAAGATCAATTAAATTTTATTGAGAAACTCAAAATCCTCCGACAACCCCCGACGAAAAATAATGACCCGTCCCTGAAGAGAATTCAATTCATAATTTTCTTTTAGCGTAGTTAGACAATTCCATGTTTTGGCTGAATGCACCAAATTGTTTAACTTTAGAAAACATTGAACGTGTGCAAGAATGTAAAGCCCGCCAAATTTTGAATTAGTAGGCGAAAGCTTGTACACCCAAGGAAAAGTTTAACAAATGTTACCTGCTTTTCTTGCAAACCAGCCGGAAACAAAATATACGTGATTTTGGAAGGAGAAAAAGCTTTCAGGTTGTACCACAGGCGTCCCAAGCTCACGTCTTGAGAAAAGGTAAAATATAAATTAATGAAAGACTCATAAGACTTATAAGTCTTATAGCTGTTATATGAGTCTTATGAGACTCCTTCCTATATCAGGCCGAACAATAGTGATAGCAAAGCAAGCCCAAAGCAAGCTTAAAACGGCAGAGAATGTCAGAAACTACAACGGACACACAAGCATGAGTGAATAAATTCAAATGATCCGTTATGTGTAAAATGTTCATATCTCGGAATATTTAGCGTTGTAAATCGCCAATATTTCTTTCCCCAGTACTATTCCGAGGGCCTCCAATAGCTAGGTTTTTCGAGATCCGGGATTGGGTTTATTAAAAGGCCGGGATTCGGGAATTTAAAGTAAGTAGGGAGCGAGATGTGGGATTGCTATGATGAACGGGATTCGGGAGATAATCACTTAAACGAACCGTGAACCGGGATGTCCGTTGACAAGAATTTATGAAGAAATTGATCTTCTCAGTCATCTCAGCATTCAAGAGGCCGTCGGGCTCCTCAGCGACACTCTTAAATAGTTACTGAATGATAAGCAGACTGCACTCGTTTCAGTAATAGATTTTTAGGCATTTCAAAGATTATAGTTACAGCATTAGATAACACAGAGATGCGATGGAACAGAAATGAAAGCGGAAGCACAGCTAAGTTTGATAGCAGGAGATCGGCTAGCTCTGCGTAACTTTTCGCGGAGGCCGAAGCGTTCTGGCTTTATAATATGAGAAGAGTTGTTTGTTGTCAAATGCGACTCCTTGGCGTCATTGGTCCAATGAAGGAGGACTTCTTGATTATGCTACATTTTGAACTTTGGTTCACCGTACCGCTATAGCGTTCGTTAATTTCGCCTGATAGTTCTACGGTACTAAACTTGCCTCAGAAGGTTAGGCCTGATTCATTACTCCGATGTCAAAATATGAAAGGAAATATTATAAGTTCAGGCCCCTTACCTTGCAGAAATACCAAGAAACAAATCCTTAAAAGTTGCTTTCTTGACTGGTACGACAGAAGAACGTCCGTCACCGAGAGCCCAGGGAAATGTAGCTCTCGTGCGTTATGGATTGACAAGAAACTGAATACCGGAAGTGCTACCGTCCACTAGTTAGGACGCATTGCATTCTGGTTCTTGTTGGCATCGTTACTTTTCGTCACGCATTTGCGTGAGCTTTCCACAAATACGGCTTTCTTAATTGTTCTTTAACTCTGTCCTGTGTCAGTCACAGTTACCTTCTACGGATAAATGGTGAGTTTACTGTTTACTTACGGCATGCTGCTCTTGCGGAATTATTACTTGACTGAAAAGTTGATAAGCTCAAGGTGAAATTGACCTCATACTAATTGTGTATCAAATTTGTAAGTTGTGAGCACGTTCTTCGTCTCTGAATCATACCTTCTCTGTACGGCAGACTGTTATCAGGGCTTGAACTAATCTCAAAGCAATGAAGGGTCGCGTGAAGGCCTGTTAAAGACGAGGAACATAGAGAGATAGAGAGAGATACGTGTAGCGTTACTCACGTTGGAAAGGATTAGGCCTCGAAGGCTTGAAGCTATTAGAAGCTATTTCCACCTTATTTTAGCTTGCTTTTTGTTTTGTAATACTTCTTATTTTGCTCTCAGGGTTAATAAAAGTGGAGATCGTTAACTCCCAAAATTTGATTGTTAATTCTCCCCTTAGCTACTAGAATTTGGTGTTTGATCAAGAAAATATCTTGCTGGATGATGTATGGAGATATTGGGAGAAGTTACATGTAGATCAATACTAAAAGTTACAGAGCAAAGTGGGTTGATTATGTATGCTGTCAATCTTTTTTGGTGACACCACAGGCAGTCCAGGCTCCAGCTATGAGATGATCATCTTGCAATATAAGAGTCATGGCAAAAATATAAATTTTCTTGGGAATATTTAGGATAGTTCTTAGGAAGTAAAAGTACTGTCAAATTCTCAATAAAAGTACCTCACCTTACTTCCACAGTGTATTGCTTGTTGTGTGACCACTTGTTATGTTGAAAAGAAGCCATTTTAGCAAGTTATCCATCTCTTAGTTTCCCAGAAATGGATAACTCGCTAGAATGGCTTTGTTGACTGCAGTGTATTGATTATACATGTACCTATCTTAATTATTGACAACAACCTTAGTATTGGTTCTAAGGTGAGCACTTTGTACTTAATTCAGTAAATGTACTACTCGCAGTAATCCTACTGTACTGGAAATACCTGCATGCTGTAAAATTACTATAAGTCAGTAAACTCTTATACTTGTATATGTGTAATGTGTTCATCAATAAAGTTCAGTTAGCCTTTGGCAATGAAGAAGGAATAGTCTCTCTATGTCTGAATGACGACACTACATTGACCGTATTTTCAAGTTTTATTCCAAACAGTGGTTGTAAATATTCTCATACAAACTCTTATATTTTTGCCATGACTCCTATTATGCAAGATGATCATCTCACAGCTGGAGCCTGGGCTGCCTATGGTGACACAAGCACATGTTTGATTATCTCACAATCCTTGCAGAAAGAGGCATAGGCTTAGATTTAATGGCGGTTGAGTCCTCAAGACCATTAGTGTCCTACCAAGGCAGTAACTGTTCATTTTGCCATTTGACTAGCTGTTTAACAAGATACACATGAGGTGGTGAATGGTTACTTGGAAATCAGGTATGAAATGGGAAAATAACCTTAAAAAACTAGGCATGAAAAATGTGTGCTTGTTGTTTTCTGTGAAGAAAGAGGTTGTGTCTTGAAAAATTATATCAAGGAGAAATTTTTGCATTTATGAGATTTTGTTACAGTTTGAACCACAAACCTCCCATTCATGGAGTTTGAGATAGTGGCAATGTTATTTATTTATATTGTTCAAGGGTTCACAGTCTATAGCCTTTAGTATGACTGATGATAAAGCTGTCACATTGCTGTATGATGTGCATTACTGATGACCTCTTCTTCATTTGTTGCATAAAATTATTTCACATCATTTGCTGCTTCAAACACACTTTCTATACAACAGCAATTTTTTATACGCCTGCACACATCACATCAGCATAGATAAAAAATATATATAGATAATTCTTGATTTTAGTCTATCCTTGGTGGGGGCGTGGTGGCCTCATGGTTATTGCACTTGACTCCAGATCAGGTGGTCCAGGTTTGAGCCCTGGCCGAGGTCATTGTGTTGTTTTCTTAGGCAAGACACTTTACTCTCACAGTGCTTCTCTTCATCCATGTGTACAAATGGGTACCAGCAAATGTGCTGGGGGTAACCCTGCAATGGACTAGCATCCCATCCAGGGGGGAGTAGCAATACTCCTAGCTGCTTCATGCTAAGAAAACCGGAGTTAAGCACTGGCCCCATGGGCCACTTGAGCTCGTGTTAAGGCTTTACTTACTTTTACTATGGCATCTGTCTGATGATCACATAAGCGTGAAACTCAGTCAGAGAAAAGTTATGTCTTATTGATTTGTGTAATTTTTAGATTTATATATATATATATATATATATGTTACATAATGTGTATAGAATAGATATAGATGAAATTAAGAAAATTACACGAATCAAATGAACAATGTGAACAAGAAATAATGTATACATATGTATCAAAAGGGCTAGAAAAAATTTTGAAATCCAGTTGCTCAGTGTGTTATTACATTTCAGTTTTCATTAAGCCCTACTAGAATATTACTTGCCCAATAGGCAGGACAAAATGTTCATGCATTATTACCTACATCATTTACTGATGGACATTTCAACATTTTCGAAAGTGAGCGAGTTTGTTTAAGTGGTTTGCTCCATGTTAATTTTAAGGCTTGTTTTTAATATTTTCATTGCTGAGAAATGGCATTTATTTTACACATTGCAGTGCAAGGAGACATAGAGACATCAACCAAAAGCAGGATGGAGCTTAAGCCTTCAGGTTTGGAAGACAACAAACTTGCATAGTTACATACAGTGTATCAACAGGTTTTTCTGTTCTGTGTACATTGCCAAAACTCTTGAGTTTTTGCCACTGAGACTGGGCAGCTAAATGTGTATCTTCCCATCTTAGCACTTATAAATACAGTAAATAGCACCTTCCATGAAGGTTGAAACTGTCTCTTTCCCTTCTCTTATACCAGTTTTTAACTAATGGCTGTTCAGCCTTCCATTTGTTTGATTCACCTAGCTTCTTTGGCTTTTTACTGAATCAGACAAGACTAAATTTAATGCAGAATGTTTGTTTTTCATCGCCATCTTGAATCTACCTTGTGCTTTTTTACTATGTGGTCATAAAATGTCCTAAAAGTGAGCACAATACTCCACTTGGT